CAACAAAGTGAAAAGACAACACATAAAATGGGAGAAAATATTTGCAAATCATTTATCTGGTAAGGGTCTTGTATCCAGAATATACGAGCGGTCTTAATAAAGTTCATGGAAAATGTGTATTATTAAAAAAACTATGCAAGGATTTCAAAAATTTTTTGCACCTAAATAAACTCATTTTAACTTGTCATAATATGTCTGAACAGGATCTAGTTTGTGGCACTTAGAAGGATAAGACATCAGTTTGAAATGAGCCACTATCAGAGCAACATGAATTCTGCTAAGACTGCAGCAAGAACATACATCAAATTTACAGTGAAGTTTGGGTGGAAGAATGGTGAAATTACTGATGTGTTATGAAAAGTTTATGGGGACAGTGCCCACCCTCCCCAAAATTAACAGTTTACAAGTGGATAGCTTCTTTTAACAAGGGACAAGACAATGTTGAAGATTAAGCCCACAGTGACAGACCATCGACATCAATATGCAAGGAAAAAATTCATCTTCTTGTGCCCTAACTGAAGAGGACTGACAATTAACAGAACAGTAGGAAACATGACAAACATCTCAATTGGTTCAGCTTATGCAATTCTGACTGAAAAATTAAAGATGAGCAAACTTTCTACTCGATGGGTGCCAAAACCATTAAACCCAGATCAGCTGCAGGCAGGAGCAGAGGTTTCAATGGAAATTTTAAATAATTAGGATCAAGATCCTGAAACATTTCCTCAAAGAATTGTAACAGGAGATGAAACATGGCTTTCCCTGTATGATCCTGAAGACAAAGCACAATCAAAGTAATGGCTACCAAGAGATGGAAGTGGGGCAGTCAAAGCAAAAACAGACTGGTGGAGAGCAAAGGTCATGGCAACAGTTTTTTGGCATGTTCCAGGCATTTTGCTTGTTGACTTCCTAGAAGGCCAAAGAACGATAACCTATGCTTATTATGACAGTGTTTTGAGAAAGTCAGCCAAAGCTTTAGCAGAAAAACACCCAGGAAAGCTACATCAGAGAGTCCTTCTCCCCCATGAGAATGTTCCTGCTCATTCCTCTCATCAAACAAGGGCAATTTTGCAAGCATTTTGATGGTAAATCAGCAGGCATTCACCTTTACAACCCTGATTTGGTGCCTTCTAATTTTTGTTTTGTTTCCTCATCTTAAAAATCTGTAAAGGACACCCATTTATCTTCAGTTAATAATGTAAAAAAGACTGCATTGATATGGTTAAATTTCCAGAACCCTCAGTTCTTTAAGCATAAAGAATGGCTGGTATCATCACCTGCATAAGTGGTGAGGCCTTATGTTGAGAAATAAAGTTTATATTTTTTCTTTTAATCCCATTTTTCCAAAAAACTTTTGAATTCCCCTCATATAAAAAACTCCTACAACTGAACTATAAGAATGTAAGTAACCCAACTAAAAACTGGGCAAAAGACTTGAAGAAAATATTAAAGAAGATATACAACTGACCAATAGGCACATTTAAATATGCTCAACATCATTAGTCATTAAGGAAATAGAAATCAAAACCACAAGGAGATGCTACTTCACACCTACTAGGATGGGGCTAGAATCAAGAAAGAAAAGAAGAAGGAAAGAAGAAATAAAATAAATAACAAACAGTGACAAAGATGTGGAGAAATTAGAACCCTCATACATTGATGTAGAATTGCAAAATGGTGCAAGACACTTTGGACAACAGTCTGTGAATTACTCAAAAGCTTAAACATAAAGTTACCACATGATTCAACAATTCCACTCCTAGGCATATACCTAAAAGAAATTCAATCATGTCCACACAAAATCCTATAAAAGAATATCTGTATCAGAATTATTCATAAAAGCCAAGAAGTAGAAATAACCACAGATGTCCATCAACTGATGAATGTATAAAGAAAATTTGATATATCCATGAAATGGAATATTATTCAGCCATAAAAAGGAACGAAGACTGCTACAATATAAATCAACCTGAAAATATTATGGTAAGTGAAGGAATCCAATTATAAAAGACCATATACTGTATGACTCCATTTATATGAAGTATCTAAAATAGGCAAATTAACACAGACAGAAAATACATTAGTGGTTGCTAGGGGCTGGGGAGAAGGGGAATGGGGAGTAACTGCTAATGGTGTAGCATTTCTTTTTTGGGAGATGACACTGTTCTAAAATTCTATACAGGCAATGGTTGCAC